GGCTCGGCATGCTCTGTAGCTGTGTGATAATGAAGAGCTCACAGATGTGCTGCAGCCTGGACACTTGGTACATCTCAGCACAGATCAGGAGACACATGGCCTGGAAAATACCGACTGAAAAGAGAAAGAACACAGGCGATAAATCATTGTATAACCTTAAAAAAATGCTGACCATACCATACCATCAAATGGAGAAAAAGTCTTGAAGGAATCAGCATTCTTAAACCATGACACTTATTTGCAGAAAAAGCAATATAAGCCTTTACACTGAGACGTTAATCTTTTTCTATTTTCAACTCTTGAGAGAGGGTAATTCTATAATCGCCCTTAATAGTCAGCTCCAGGGCTACTGAGTAAACCTTCTTGTTAGCTAACTTAAACCTTCTGATGCTTCCTCTGGCTTGAGTGCCCAGATTTTTGTTTTTATCATTTCCTTAGAAGCCTGATTTTCAATGTGACACCTGTTTCTTATCAAGCCAGAAACGCCATACATTCCTCTGTAGCTACTGAACCTGGAACCTTAGAGACGGATGGATGAGCCTTCGCTCTGTGGTTTTCTTATTGCATAAGATCCAGTGTGCAACTTCGCTTCTGAATTCTTGTTTTCACTCACTCCCCCCCCACCCCTACACCTTTGAACCAATTTTTCAAGTGTGCTTTGTCCTGTGTTTACTTTTGCTTTTCTGAGTATTTTTACCTAATTGGAAAGCAAAATGGAAAATTAGCTTCAATGTCTCTAGGGAGCAGATGATTAAGAAGCCAAATTTCCCTATGAATTCAAATCTGGTCAATTTTAACTTCAACGAACATACTGTCCAGTATAAACATAATTTATTTTTAAGCAGTAAGCCTTAATTTCAATGGAAATCAATGCCTTCATTTCTCATAAGGAGCCCTGATGGGGTTATAGTGGGCTGTAAGTTGGGCTGCTAACTGCAAGGCAAGCAGTTTGAAGCCACCAGCCAGTCCACGGAGGAGAGTGGAGGCTTTCCGCTGTCTGGAGGATCCACAGCCTCAGAAACCCACGGGGCCGTTCTACTCCTTCCTACAGCGATGCTATCAGTAAGACGCAACCCGAGGACAGGTAGTTTGCTTTGTGTTTTCCCCTCACTTTAATTAATTAAAGTGGTAATTATATGGTAATTAATATGGTAATTAATTAATATGGTTAATTAATATGGTAACTCAGTTTACATCCTTGACAGTTAATCATTGTAATCAACTCCAAAATACTATATGACTAGGGGTAAGCCCAGAAATGATTCTATTCAAATACAAATGTCTTGTTTTGTAACTTCTGAAAACTTTCACCAAGTGGCTCGTGATTTGATGAAGACAAGAGATTTCACTACTAAATGCAGGGAACAGTTCAAATCTCAAAGTCAAACTGTGAACCTGAAGAGAGATATGGTCTCAAATGAGTGTTTTCTATGCTTGCTGAAGAGCTTGGCAGGTTC